GCATTGGTCAAAATCAGCCGAAAAAGACTTCCTGAAAGTGTTCAAAAGCAAAGATGTCACTAAGGTGCATCTGACCTAAGCCATGGGACTTTCAATCAATTCATATGCATGTAAAAGCTGGACAATAAAAAAGGAAGACCAAAGAAAAATTGATGCCTTTGACTTATGGTGCTGGTGAGGAATACTGAATATACTATAGACTGCCAGAAGAATGAACAAAACTGTTGGGAGAAGAACAGCTAGAATGGTCCTTAGATGGGAGAATGATGAGACTTCGTCTCTTGTACTTTGGAAGTGTTATCAGGAGGGACCAGTCCTTGGAAAAGGGCACCATGCTTGGTAGTGGGTCAGTAAAAAAGAGGAAGACCCCAATGAGATAGATTGACAATGGGCTCAAATACAGAAATGGCTGTGTGGAGGGCGTTGGACTGGGCAGTGTTTTTTCTGTTGTACATAGGGTCACTGAGTTGAAAATGATTCTATGGCACTTAAGAATAACAACAGACTGAGATGAGTTTGTCTCAGACAAGGAGACCCAAATATTTACAGCAGAAACATATATTGTATTTTAACTTAAAAGTTGGCAGTACAAACTCACCTACTGGTTCCACGCATTATTCAAGAAGTGTTTTATTTAATTTCATTATTTCAAAGTATTTTGTGTGTGTGCATGTTATTTATGTGACGGCACTCACCAACATAACAACAAATATACATTAAAATACAGTATAAAGAATTCAGAAAATTATTGAAAATAAAATGGGGGGAAAACACTGTTGTGAAAGGACACCCATTAAACATAGACAAGTAAGAAAGAGGAAATACTACAAAATTACCTCGGCAAGATGTCTCTGAGCTTTCCATAGAATCTAACTTTAAAGCATCAAATACCTCAAAATCCGATTTCTTGACATGGATCAAATTATTAATTGTGCCAAGCTGACTGGTAACCACAGGCTGAAACAGTGAATGCAAAAGATTAATAAATCCCCTTTTCAAATTCTCTTCCATCCAACCCTCCTCTTGCTAAAAGTAAAAATGATCATACTTGGCAACTCCATCTTTTATCAAGAGAGAAACCCTACAGTGTAGGGGGCGCTGTCATCCATCAATCCTGACAGTACAGACATTTGACACCAAATGATCACTAAAACAAAGACTGTTAAGGGTTACCCTTGGAGATCAAGGCCTTACCTCTGATGGATCATGAATCCACTGCCCATCCACGAAGAACTTATACTGGTGTTCTCCCTCAGGAAGGTCCAGGATGGCAACAAAGTCATTATGGCTACAGAAAAAAAAGAGAAAAGTCAGACATTCAAGCTCCTATTAGAAGACAATATACAAGGTATGTGGCAATCACAGTATCATACCCATGATCTCCCAAGTTCCTAAATCTTTGTAACTCCTGGAGTTATAAAACCACTCTCCTTTTCGTATCACCTTGGACATGTATCTGTCAGGCCCTCTCAACAACTTTAGTTCTTAATTAATCATTTGGAAAAATATTTAAAGATATTGATGTCCCCAAATGGTTTACTTTAGTACGATTTTGTTTCGGCAATAAACCCTTCACTTCATGTGTAAATAAAATAACAGGTAGGTTCAGGATATTGAAATGCCTCAAGATACCATTTCTATATTTTGGTAAGCCTTTTCTGGCAAACTATTTACACCAAGCAAGGCCCATTCTGATAACAAATTACATAACTCACTATTGCTCTCCAAGTGACACATAATGTCACTATGAAGAACTCAGCACTGTATTCTGCTTCAGTGTGGAAGTTAAGAGTAATTGGACTCAGAAAAAAAGAAAGAGTAATTGAATTCAGCCAAATACAGAAGACTTTGCAAACATAGAAAAGATTTAACACAGAATGTACTCACTAAAATTATAACTTTCTCGGAGGTAATGGTATTTCAAGTGGTAAAACACACAATGAGGTTAAAAAAATAAATAAATAAATAAAAAGGCACAGAAATAGTAAGTGGTTACAGACAAGGGTGTGCTCCAGACAAAGTCCCAACTGGTGGAGGGGAGTAGTCGAGACAGGCCCCTCTTTTGAGAAAAGAAATCTTATCTTTATTCTTGGACCATCAAGACTCTTGTCTTCACCTCTTAATCAGTGGAATCTTGGTACTCCAATTGTTGAAGGACCCAGAGATGAAGACCTCCTTGCCTCCTTCAGACCAGCGGATAACAGTGGGGCGGGCTTGCTGTGTGGGCTTTACAGCGTCTTCCAAATCTTGCTGCCATGATATAAACTCTTTGTCTCCAGGGAGCTGTAAGAAGAATTAGGTTATACCTAGAATAAACTGCTATTCAAGGATTCTTAAAAGGTTACTCTCCTTTTAAGCTTGAATTACATCCTCCCAAAAGTCCTAATCTATGTACATGTCAATGTGACCTTGTCTGAGACAACAGGGTCTTTCTTTGAAGGTTTTATCAGGCAAGTCAGACCAGAGTAAGGTGGGTATTAGTCTGAGTCCCTTCTGAGCAGTGTCCTATAAAAGGATGAACAGACATGAAAGCCAAGTTACAAATATCCACTACCACTGCCAGAGTCAATTCCATCACATAGTGGCCCTACAGGACAGGGAGAACTGATCCCCAGGATTTCTGAGGCTGTAGATCCTTGTGAGATTGACAGCTTCCTTCATCTTTCTCACTCAGAGCAGCTGGTGGGTTTAAAATGCCAACCTTGTGGTTACCAGTCCAACATATAACCCACTACACCACCAAGGCTCAATTCAAGTCACAAATATGGGGAGTGTGTGGCGCTATAGGATAAGCACTTGACCTCAAGGTTGGTTTGAACCACAAGGTTGGTGGTTCAAATTCACTAGTCATTCCTCAGAAATCTTATACAGGGTCGCTATGAGTTGGAACTGACTTGACGGCACTTAACAACAACAATCATGCAATGACCTGTTTACACAACCAAAAGGAATGCCAATGATTGTTGGCAGCCACCAAAAGCCAGGAGAGACGCAGGTAAGAGCTCCTCTCTCAAATCTCTTAGAAGAAACTTATAGTTGATAACCTGTTTTGGACTGCTGGGTTCCAGATCTGAGAGAGAATACATTTCTATTCTTTAAAACCACTTACTTTAGGGGATTTTGTATGGCAGCCCTAGGAAACTAGGAGTACTAGTGTGGCACTGTGGGTTAATGCACTGGACTACAAAGTCAGTTTGAACAGCAAGGTCGGCAGTTCGAGCTCAACAGGTACTCCTTGGAAACCCTATACAGGGTCGCTATGAGTCGGAACCAACTCAGCAGCACTTAACAACAAAAACAAGGAAATGAAGACACTTACCCAGACCAGAAATGGGTGGTGGCTTCTGTTAAGGATCCATAGGCTCTGCAATCAGCAACTAAATCAAGTTATGAACAAACTATAGAAAAAGAACTTATCTAAGACCATAACAGTCAAACAGCTTATACTCAATTACTGCCTGACTCACAGCCTAACTTTTGAAGTCTGAACACATCACTCATTGTTTCAGAGCAGGGCTGCTATTGTATGCTGTTGAATCGGTTCTGACTCATGTTGACCCTCTGATTAAAACTGCCCCAAGGATTGCCAAGGCTTTCGGGACCAGGTCACCAGGTCTGGCTTCCAAAATTTCTCTGGGTAGATTTGAACTGCCAACCTTTTGACTGTTTATACCACCCAGGGAGTTTAGTGTTGAAGAGCAAAGACGTCAGCTTGAGGACTAAGGTGTACCTGACCCAAGCCATGGTATTTTCAATAACCGCGTATGCATGCGAAAGCTGGACAGTGAATAAGGAAGATCGTAGAAGAATTGATGCCTTTGAGTTGTGGTGTTGGAGGAGAATACTAAAAGTGCCATGGACTGCCAAAAGAACCAACAGATCCATTTTGGAAGAAGTGCAGCCAGAGTGCTCCTTAGAGGCCAAGATGGCCAAACTTCGTCTCTCATACTTTGGACATATTGTCAGGAGGGACCAGCCGCTGGAGAAGGATATCATGTTTGGTAAGGAGGAGGGTCAGAGAAGGAGAGGTTGACCCCCAACGAGATGTACTGGCCAAGTGTGGCAACAGTAGTGAGTTTGGCCCAGGATCGGGCAGTGTTTTGTTATGCTGTGCATAAGGTCGCTATGAGTTGGTGCCGACTCGATGGCACCCAACAACAACAACAAAAGACTCTCCCTTTAAAAAAAAGGGAGGGAAGCAGGGTGCTTACTTTTATTACCAATTTAACTCATGCTGTTGTTAAGTGCCACCAAGTGGATTCTGACTCATAGTGACCCTGTATAGAATTTCCAAGGAGCAGCTGGTTAGTATGAACTGCTGACCTTGTGATTAGCAGTTCAGTGCTTATCCTATAACTCCACATATGTTTATGAATGTTTCTTAGGAGAAAGCACATAAAAACAAAGTATTGGTATATAAAAAATAAAACCCGTATTTTCACAAATATAAACATCTTCCATTGATCAATTACAATGAAAATGGGATGTAATGGAATTGATCAGTAATTCATACACTATTTCTGCTAATAAGTTGCAAAAAGAATAAAAATTTAAAATTTAAAACCAAATAACAGATTTCTTAAAATTTAGATAGTTATGAAATCCTACTTGTTTATCTACATTGCTGCTGTTGTTAAGTGCCATTGAGTCAGTTCTGACTCATAGCAACCCTGTATAGGGTTTCCGAGGAGCAGCTGGTGAGTTTGAAATGCCAACCTTGCAGTTAGCAATCCAATATTTACCCTACAGCACCACACGAGGGCTCCATGCTAGCTTTATATTAATTATTTCTGGAATCTCAAGGAGCAATAGATAAAAAATGCAGCTTTCTTTACCCAGAGCAGTTCTAGTGTCAAATGAGATCTGTAGGCTTATGAGAAAAATGAAGTACTGCTTAGTCCTCGGCCAGTATCATGATTCATAATGGGACCATTGTGATTCATAAGGTTTTCACTGGCTGATTTATGGAAGTACATCACCAGGACTTTCTTCCTACTCTAAGTCTGGAAGCTCTGCTGAAACTTGTTTAGCAACCTACCAACACACAAGCCTCCCTGACAGATACGTAGGTGGCAGCTATGCATGAGGAGTATTAGCTGAGAATCGAACCCAGGTCTCCCACATGGAGGACGAGATCTTCATCACTGAGCCACAAATGTCTTATTTTAGACTGGCAAAAAGGACTGAAAAATAAGCCAATGAGATAATATATATTAAATCAAGATATTACTAAATAAAATAGCACAGGTTAAAGAAAAGAAGACTAGCTTGTTCATTTGAGTTTCTACTCAAAATAGTTGAGGTCCTTGGAGAAGGACATCATGGTTGGTAGAGGGGCAACTATGACCCTCAATATGATGAAGTGACACAATGGCTGCAATGAGCTCAAACACAGCAACAACTGTGTGAATGGTCCACAACTGGGAAGCTATTTTGTTCTGTTGTACATGGGGTTGCTAAGAGTTGGAATTGAATCAACAACACCTAATCACAGCAACTTTCTTTACTTTCTTGATGTTCCTTAAAACTATACTATACGCTACTTACTGATAACAGCATAATCCAAGTAAATGGAGAAGAGAACTAAAAGGACTTTCATATTATGTAAGGAACTGACTTAAGTGAAAACCTTGATCTCCATATTTTCCAAACAAAGCACTCTTGCCTAACTGGCTGCATCAGAATTATGTTTTGTTTTTTTCAACATATGCCTCAGAATAACCCTCTGATTTTGTTATAACCTAGGAGTCCAGGTGTGACGCTGTGGGGTTAATGCGCCACACTGCAAAGCCATTTGAACTGCAAGGTCGGCAATACAAGCTCACCAGCTGCTCCTCAGAAACCCTATAGAGGGTCGCTATGGGTCAGAACTGACTCGATGGCACAACAACAACCCCATTGTCATCGAGTTGATTCTAACTCATGGTGACCCTAGAGGAGAGGGTAGAATTAACCCATAGGGTTTCCAAGGTTGTAAATCTTTAGGAAAGCAGGCTGTCACATCTTTCTCCCACAAAGCAGGTGACCTTTTGGCTAGAAGTAGAGCGCTTTAACCACTGCATAACCAGGACTCCTTGATTTAGGTATAGAGGCTAGAGATCTAATTTTTAAAAGCTTCCCAGATAATAACACTGTGATTATGTTAAGATAAAGAAAGGGATAAAGTCTCATCTTTACAGACAGATCCTGAAATATTTACAAATAAAATATTTGAATTGATGTCTAGAGTTTGCTTCAAATAACTGGGCAAGTGTGGACTAAGGTAAAGAAAATTATTCATGGTTTAATATTATTTAAATTGAGTAAAAGGTACATACAAATTCACTATACAGTGCTCCTGCTTTGCGAATTTTTCAGATTTTCCATAGGATGTCTTTTAAAATCTCACGTTTTTAATGTAACAGCATTGAGAGCCACTGAATTAGTCCACCAAAGAGTGTTGCTATCGCTGCCACTGTTTCTAACATTATTTTGATGACTTAGATTTTTAGTTTAGAATTTGAAAGCTATAAACTATTAATATGCCTAGCTTTGGAGTAAAGCCCTTCCACATATGATATTACAGGGTAGGCATGAGGGAAGCTGACTAGCAGAAAGATCGTTTACACCAAGTTAAATAGTCAGCAAAACCACCAGGAAAACAGGCAAAACAACAATTCGAAGTGCACTTGGAAGATAAAGTAAAATGGGAGAAGTGCAGAAGGTACATTTAGAAGTATGAAGTTTTGTATTTGGAAGAGACCTTAGAATTACCTAAACCAATTTTCTTTTCTCACAAATATCAAGAGTAAAGTGAGGGAAGGAATGATCCAAAATAGGCCCTAATGTAGATTGAGTATTGGCTTTTATTCAGGACATTGATTACTGTAGTCAGTGTTCTACAAATAGTTAGGTATTGAGTCATCAAAGTAAGAAAAGGGTAAAAATACAATGAGGCAGATCATCTTGAGACAGCTTTGAAGCAAATTCAGATGACTGCTTAGATAGTCTAAATGATAAAACAGAAGTCGTGAGGTAGAAGAGGGAAGAAAAGCACAGAGAAGAAATCCCTAGCATTGCTCCTTTCAGTGCTCCTCATTCTCACTCAGTGATTATTTTTCAATTGGGCGCCAAGGAAATATACAAACCATAGACTCCAAAATTCATGTTACCAAAATCCTCTCTTTTCTGTGTAAAACTCCAGTTTGATGGGAAATAACGAGGTGATAAGAAATACATTTTTCTATTTCAGTGCCATCAGGTGAATTTGCAGGAACTAAGAGTATGCTGAAAGCTCTAAAATAATTAAAAACATAGGCTGGGATTCACAATGATGCCATCTAAACTTTCTGTAGAATGAACACAAGGTGCTGCCTTAGAATTGAGAACAAGGTCTCGGGGCAGCTATGGGTTGTTTTTTCTAGCCATGGCAACATTTTGAGGTACATGTGGTACCACAGGATAAGCACTTTGACCTCAAGGTCTGTTTGAACTGCAGGGTCAGTGGTTCAAACTCACAAGCCGCTCCTCGAAAACCCTATACAGATATATACTCGGAACTGACTCAATGGAACGCAACAGCAGCAACAGATACTGAGAAGCAGAGAGTCATCAAAAAAAGAGGAAGACTTTCAAGAGCAGAGGTCCCTGGGACCACCAAAGGAGAAGAGTGGAGAAGGGAAGCCTACCCAGAGAAGCAGTGATGCCAGGGATGGGGGCAGAGACGACGACGCGGGAAGATGGAGTGGCTGGAGACTTTGAACCCAGAGAGGGAGAGGGGCGGTATGCAGATGACTGGGGGGGCAGGCTTGCAGGGTATACCCTTTGGTTGATGGATGATACATGGAAGGGATTGTAACCATGGCAAGGAAACGACATACGACAGGATCAATGTGAAGCTGATGTCCTCCCATGTAAACTATCATATAATTCACAATAAAGCATTTTTTAAAAAAAAAGAGGAAGACTCTCAATGAGATGGACTGACCACAGTAGTTGCAGCAATGGGCTCAAACATAGCAAAAATTGTGAGGACAGTACAGGGCCGGGAAGTGTTTTGTTCTGTTGTGTGTACATGGGGTCATTATGAGTCAGAACTGATGGCATCTAACAACAACAGGGAGGTAGCGAAATCCTGGAGTCCTGGAATCATTTGCTTTCCCACTTGAGAATCTGTTGGGTGTTACAGAAGCAGAGTCTCAGCCAAACAACTAATAAGAAAAGGAAGAAACTGACTAGTCAACCAAGTCATGTCCTTTGTTGGTCCCTACGACTAGGACTGTTGTTGCTTGATGCTGTGGAGTCAATTTCCACTGTCAGAGATGCCATGTGACAGAGCAGAATGATCCTATAAAGTTTCTAAGGCTGTGAGTCAGAAATGACTCTACTGGCAGTAGGAAATCTTTACAGGATTAGATGGCCAGGTCTTTCTCCCAGAGAGCAGCCGACCTTTTAAATACTGCAGAACCAAGGCTCCATAAGGTATTCAAAGACAGTGGTGGCTGCTAACAGCCATGCCAAAGGGGGAGAGGAAGAGGCCTGCTAAGCTTCCATGGTGTGAGCTGTAGGATAAACACTGGACAGATAGGCTGTTGAAACTTACCAGTTGCTCCTTAGATAATCCTCCACAGGGTAGCTATGAGTTGGAACCAACTGCACAGCACTTAACAAGACCAACAAAGACACTTTCAGGATAAATAAAATTCATTTACCCACTGCAGTGCAAAACTAAGAAACTGTCACCTGCGGTCAGCTTTGAAAACCTACCCTCTTTAATTATTCTCCAGAGCAGGGGTGTGAAACTTCCGGCTTACTGGCCTATTGTTGTTGTAGTTGTTGTTAAATGCTGTCAATTTGGTTCTGAGTCACATCGACCCTGGATAGGGTTTCTGAGGAGCAGCTGTTGGGTTTGAACCATTGACCTGTGCTTTGCAGTCTGATTCCGATCCTATAGCATAGTGGTTACGAGTCAGGCTGCGAAGCTCAAGGTCAACAGTTCGAAACTACCAGCTGTTCTGTGGGAAAAAGATGAAGCTTTCTGCTCCCCTAAAAATTTACAGCCTCAGAAACCCTATGCGGGAGTTACTATGAGTCTGAGTCGAAACTGACTCCCTGGCACACAACCACCACCACCAGGAGTCCCCACCGGCAGTACAAGGCCCTCAAATCATTTGATCTGGCCCTGCCAAGGCAACTGCAGTTCCAGCCATCACATTAGGGGGGAGTTCATTAAATATTTGATCAAATATAGCAGGCTAGTTTTTAAGTTGCCAATTTTGCATGGCCGGCGAATAATGTTATGAATTTTGGCTGAAAAATGTTCCCCACCGCTGCTCTACAGCTTATATGTAGCTCACAATTCAGCAACACACCCTAGAAACTGCCTTTCAGAACCAAGAATTCTGTGGGGATTCATCATCCCTCATCCTAAAAATGGGATCAAAAGATTAGTCAGAAAATCATGAAAATAAGAACTGGGTTTCGGTATCCTATTTTCGTGGCAGGAATGTGAAAGAAATGATCATGTAACTGCCCCGACCCTGGAAGACCTCTTTAATTCAAATATAGTAACCCGTGTCCGTGTGCTGAGAAAGAACCACCTCGGGAGGTGGAGCCTGTGCACCGTCACCAACTCGGGGTGTGGGGGTGCTTACCTTGGAGTCCTGCAGGCTGAAGACGCTAGGGTCGTCGATGCTCCCCACCATGATTTTGTGCTCCTTGCCCGAGCCATGGCTGCCGGCACCCTCGGCGCGCGCTGCCTTGGCGCCCTGGCGCTCCCCGGACACCCGGTCGCTAGTGGTGTTTCCCATGACTGCGGCTCGAGCCCGGAGCCACCTGACGCGGACAACAACACGGTGCAGGGGACACCCCGGCCGACGCGTCAGAGGCGCCCCCGGCCCCGCCCCTGCGCCCAGGGATCCGCGCAGGGAATCCCCGCCCCGGGGAAGCCGTGCCCCGGGATCCCCTCCCTCTCGAGGCTCCAGCAGCGCCCGGGGATCCCTAGATCCCCTCACCGCCCCTTCCTTAGGAAACCCGATTTCGGTAACTCCCCCGCAGCCCCCGCGCTCTTTGCCCGCATCCCAATTAGCCCCCACCCCAATCACCTCCCGCGCTTCGCTCCCTTATCTCCCGATCCCTGGTGCAATGGCTGCGCTGTGGACAAAGCCATCAATAAAGTTATTGAAATTGAAGCCGTACCTCTGGGTAGGGATCCGGATTCCCACCTAAAATGGCTACAAGACCCGTAGCCGTGGGCACGCCCCACACGCCTTCCCTGCGGCCGCGCCCCCGTGGCGCCGGGGCTCCGGGTGCCACTCTAGCCGCCTTGCTGCCGCCTCAATGGTGGGCAGCCGCGGGCGGCCTCCAGCGCCGGAAGAGGGCGCCCTACACCCACCCTCAATGGTGGGCAGCCGCGGGCGGCCTCCAGCGCCGGAAGGGGGCGCCCTACACCCAGCTCTGTCGTCCGCGGTGCAGGCCCTGAAGCCGTCCCAGCAGACGTGACTGGGAATTGCCAGTGAGTCCGTCGCTAGTCCTACCCGAAAGAGGGGACGGTCCCCTAAACGATACTGGATACTCAGAGACTACCTCCCTGAAGTTCAGTGCTTCGTACCCAGAGGAGAGGGGCTGATTTCTTCTTGTTTAGCTCAACCGGCCCCAGCCTCGCCAAAACGTTGTCTGGGCAGCCTCTTTATGAGAGGCAATCCCAGAGAGGTGAGTTCCTATGGCGAATTCGAAAAAGGACTTCCAATTCCAGCAGAAGGAAGTAGGAGTCATTGCTGGAGGTGTAAACTGTGTGCTGCAGGAACGGCAAAGGAGCAGTCAGCCGATTAGGATTCCAGGAAAGACTTGAAGGGAATGAAGAAGGTTGTTAAGTGCCTTTGAGTCAATTCTGACACATAGCAACCGAGTGTAGGGTTTCTGAGTTTAGATTATATGAAGAAGAATGTGGCATCAGGATTGAAGGAAAACTCATTAACAGCCTGCAGATGATACAGCCTTGCTTGCTGAAAGCGAAGAGGACTTAAAATACATGCTGATGAAGATCAAAGACCACACCGCAGCCTTCAGTATGGATTGATCTCTTGTAAAGAAAACAAAAATCCTCACCAGTAGACCAGTAAGTAGCATTATGATAAATGGCGAAAAGTTTGAAGTTGTCAAAGACTTCATTTTGCTTGGACTCACTATCAACACTCATGGAAGTAGTAGTCGAGAAATTAAAGAACGTAGTGCCTTAGGCAGATTTGCTGTACAAAACATTTTTAATGCATTTAGAGCAAAGGGCTAAGGTGCACCTAAACCAAGCCATGGTATTTTCAATCACCTCATATGCATGTGACAGTTGGAAAATGAGGAATCAATTCATTTGAGTTGTGATGGTGGAGAAGAATGTTGATAGTACACGGACTGCCCAAAGAACCAACGGGTCTGTGTAGAAGAAGTACAGCTGGAGTGCTCCTTAAAAGCCAAGATGGTGAGACTTTGCCTATCATTCTTCCGACATGTTATCAGGCAGAGACCAGTCCTTAGAGAAGGACATCATGTTTGGTAAAGTAGAGCATCAATGAAAAAGAGGAAAGCCCCCAATGAGATGGATTGACACAGTGGCAGCAGCAATGGGCTCAAGTTTAACAATTGTGAGGCCGGTGCAGGACCAGGCAATGTTCCATTCTGTTGTGCATAAGGTCACTATTGCCGGGGTCTGGCCCCGACATAATTGTCACGTGTGTTTGGTTCACGAGGAGGGGAGATCCAGCGGCGATAGGGATAGCGAAAGAATACACAGACAAACAGAAGAAGGGAGACAATGAGGCACCCCAAAGCCAGGGTGGATACATCACTGATAGGCAGGCTTGGGACTACAGGCATCGTGGCCTCTGCAGGCAGCAACTCACTGCCCCACAATCTTTACTCCATGCCTCCCAACCAGTTATGCACTGATCTTTACTCCATGCCTGCCAACCAGTAATGCACACCTGGGGAGGCCCGGGCCTCTGTTTTATTTAGGGGAGGAGTTTCACACCAAGCTGGGAGGGACTAAAACAGGATACAGCTAACATCAGTAATTTTCCAGACAATCAGGTAACTTTACATTGTACTTCACTGGTTCGAATCCCAGGCCAGCAACTTGGATTCTCAGGCCCAATTAACATATCTATAGCCCCTGAGGTCAGTTGGGGGAAGTTGAGAGTTCTGCAGGAGATGCCCAGGTGAATGGGCTGCACCTGGAAAAGGGATTAGGGAGGATGGGTTCTTTGTCTATAGAACAAAGAACCGAGAAGTAGCTAAAATACTTTTAGTTAATCCTTAGGAGAAAGGTTTAACCTTGCAACCTTTAGTTAATCCTTTGGAGAAAGGTTTAACCTTGCAACCTTTAGTCTCCGCTTTAGGAAAATATCACATTTATCTGTGGATTTTCAAAGGCTCCAGTGTATTAATTTAATATATATACCTGAATATTAAGATGAAAGCAATTTTCCATTAACTGCCAGTGGCCTCATTTGTTACACTCAGCCCTAGAGGGCCTCGAACCTCTGACTAGTCTTACACGGTCTGCAACAACTATGAGTTGGGACCTACTCAACAGCACCTAACAACAACAAACCTTTGTGGGAGCAGAAAGCCTCATCTTTCTCCCATGAATGGCTGATGAGCTCGAACTGCTGACTTTGTGGTTTGCAGTCCAATGCTTATTATATAAAGAAATAGGGGATAGGCTCTGAGAAATAAATAAAATGTTAGTCTTAAGAAAGTGTTTGTATTATAATTATGCTATTGTTATTAAGTGCTGTCGATTCGGTTCCAACTCATAGCGACCCTGTATAGGGTTTCCTAGGAGTGGCTGGTGAGCTTGAACTGGTAAGCTTGAACCTCTGACCTTTGGTTCAAACCAACCTTGCAGTGCAGCTCATTAACCCACAGCTAGATGCAGGTCTTATTCCCTATTAGAAACCTGCTACTCAACCTGTGTTCCTTGTACCAACAGCATTGACATCACCTGAGGGCCCATTCTAGACCTACAGAATCAGAATCTGCATTTTAACAAGATCCCTAGGGGTTATGTGTGCACTTTAAAGAGTGAGGAGCATTGCTTTGAAAGCTTGCAGAGCAGATAAAATTTTGACACCTCTTTCTATTTTGCATGGTACCTTGTATAGGGTAACCTTTTAATAAAGATTTACAGAATAAAGCATACAGGGATACTGCTTACTTACATTTCTAACAAGATAGGCCACTCAACATTAAGCGCAGCTATGATGTGGCACTGTGGGTTAACGCCAGACTGCAAAGCTGTTTGAACTGCAAAGTCTGCCATTCAAGCTCACCAGCTGCTCCTTGGAAACCATATACAGGGTCACTATGGGTTGGAATTGGCTTGACGGCACTTCACAATAACAACAACATGATGGGTTACACAAGGCCACCCTTTCTGAGTTAGCAGCTCCATTTGTGGGAAAGTTCATTTTTGTATTAAATTAATCTGCTTTATTCCAACAAATCCATTCCTCTCCCCCACCTGTTTGTTTTTTTTTTTTTTTGCTGTGCCCCTTCTATGCCTGTATCCAAAGAATTTGTAAGAGAAAAAGCACAATTTTACTACAGACTCTTACTCATTCCTCGTAAATTTTGACTGTGTATTTCCTATTTGTTTATCTATTTTCTACCCTGGTATGTCGCTGTGGGTTAGTGTGCTGGACTTCCAAGTCTGAGTACTGTATCTCTGTGCATTAACCTTGTGTCAGAATGTTGGTTTTTATTTTAAGGTCATGTGCATGTTCTCTTGCCAAGAGACCTTTACACAGACCTAGACAAACACAGAGATGTTTTTAACTTCAGAGAAAACAAGGCAGAGCATAGAAAAGGAATAGAAAGGAAAAATTGAGATTCTTGAGACACAAACCTAGGACTTGAATGTCTCCAAAACCAGTGTGCATAGGAACAGTGGGCCTGTGTAAAGAGTCACACTGGTAGGACCAGTAAATAAAAAAGAATAATAAAAAGACAAAAGACAAACAAAAGGTTGAACTGCAGGGCCGTGATTCAAGCTCATCAGCACTACCCAGAAACCTTATACAGGGTCACTATGAGTTGGAACCAACTCAACGGGCACTTAACAACAACAATACCCTTCCCCCAGTGTCCTGGTATGGACGGCTAACTGCAAGATTAGCGGTTCAAACTTACCAGCGCTCCTTGGAACTCCTGTACAGAGTGGCTATGAGTTGAAATCAGCTTGAGGTTACTTAACAGAAAACAACAGCAACACTTTCTCCAAGAAGCCCTGTTGGTGCAGTAGTTAAAGCAATTGTTGTTGTTGTTGTTAGGTGCCATCAAGGCAGTACCGACTCATAGTGACCCTATCACAACAGAACAAAACACTGCCCGATCTTCACTTTTGTTGCCACGCTTGAGCCCATTGATGCTGCCACTTTGCCAATCCATCTCACTGGGGGTCTTCCTCTTCTTCTCTGACTCTCCACCTTACCAAACATGATAACCTTCTCCAGCGACTGGTCCCTCCTGACAATATGTCCAAAGTCTGAGAGATGAAGTTTGGCCATCTTGGCCTCCAAGGAGCATCTGGCTGCACTTCTTCCAACACAGATCTGTTGGTTCTTTTGGCAGCCCATGGCACTTCAATATTCTCCTCCAACACCATAACTCAAAAGCATCAATTCTTCTACGGTCTTCCTTATAAAAAGCAATTGGGCACTCAAAAAAGGTTGAGGGTTCCAACCCTCCAGCTTCCATTCAGTAGGAGAAAGATATGATGACTGTCTTGGAAACCTGCCCTACAGGATCATAGTGAGTCAGAATTGGCAGAGTTT